CAGGCTCTTCTGAGCCCACTAGACCTTAACCTTGGCCCCCTGTGCTGTCTTTGGCCTGCCTCACCACATCTTAGCCAGAATCCTGCTAAGTCAGTTTAGGAAGAATCCCCCTACCCTTGATGTCTCCTCTGGGTGCTTTTCCATCCGACCCCCTCAACCTGCTCCCTGGCTATAAATTCTCACATGTCCTTGTTGTATTTGGAAGTGAGCTCCATCTCCCTTATTGAAATAGCCTTGAATAAAGCCTTCGTTATCATTTTAACAAGCATCAGAATCATTTTTCTTTTTTTTTTATAATTATTTTATTATGTTATGTTAGTCACCATACACTACGTCATTAGTTTTTGATGTAGTGATCCATGATTCATTTTTCTTTAACAGTACATGCCAATGATTGTTGCCATCATCTTTGCTCTCTTTCAGGGATCAGGAGATCATGGGATTTGTCCACCTAGTTCCTGGGTGAAAATGCAGCACATCCACAGTCATGTGAGAATTCTTCTGTCCTGGCATCACAGTTAGGCTGGGAAGACCTACGGTTATATTGTGTCTACAGGTAGGCGCTTTGAGGTCAAATGGGGAGGGGTGCAGAGTCTGCTCCAACACATTCCTCAGTCCCCTTCCTCGGGGTCAACATGGTGAACTGCTGGGGAGGGGCTGGGCCAGTCCTTTAGAAGCTGCTCTTCATTTCTGACCCACATTCAGCCCAGTTCAGGGCAATCACACCAGCCTTTATTTAGGGAGAGGTCTCATCTTAGGAAACCAATGTTTCAGATCAAAGGTCAACCTCAAAATCCAATCCAGAAGCAATTATAGTAGTGTTTTAAGAACCACAGTTGAGGTTCAAAGTCTAACTTTTTTCTTCTGAAACAACTTGCTTCTGCCCTTTGACAAACAAGGTTAAGTCTCAGGGGAACTATAATACGATTTTGATTTAAAATCTAAAGCTCAGTGCTCCCTTCAAGTTGTCATCAGTTTGTCATACTGCTTTGTTTAAAAAAAAAAAATCAAGGTCAGTGGGCATGAGCTCTGTCATCTTCCTTCCCCTCCATTTCAAGGTTGCTCTGTTCCTGAGCCCATTTGTCCTCATTTTGGGGGAAGAAGGTCCCTCCTTCTTTTCAGAGTTAAACCTTCCCTCTGTGCTCCCACCCTTTCCACCCTCTCTCCCTCCAGGATGCTCCTCAGGCCCTACTTCTCCTCACCTATCACATGCTACCCCCAGGGAAGAGTTGTCCAAACTATGAAATAGGTGGGTACTACCAGTTATGTACAAGATGATGAAAAAATAAAACACTTTAAAAATAGTTATACACTTATTTGAATATGTGTTAAGAAAAAAATTACATAACTAGCATGTCAAAGCCATAATTCTGCAGATATTATCACTTTAGATGAGGTTAAATATATTTAATTTTATTAAATAAAGCTAACTGACTTCTAACAATACCAAGTAAATGAGAGCAGGAGTAATATGGAGCTTTGGAAACAACGGACTGAAGTTTGGACAGTCTTTGCCCAGTAGAAAGCCCTGGACCGGCAGACAGGAGTCCCTCTTCTGCCACTCACTTGCCACGTGGCCTCAGGCCAATGCCGTAAACTCTCTAGGCCTCCTCTGGGATCATCTGTGATCTCATGGGGCTTGCTCCTTTCCTCATTTACAAATATACTTGGTTTTTCCCAGTATGGGAAAAAAATTCCAAAAACCGCTCCTTGGGGTGCCGACCCCTCAAGTTCTAGTTCTCCTAGTGCTCTCCCTCTGTTTTGAGGGTGCGAATTCTGAGGGTTCTGCATTTTTCACCCCTCCTCCCTTGAAATCCCCCCAGTATGCCTGCCAGCTTTTTGAACCCACTGAAAGAGCCCTCATCAATGTCGCCATGACTTCCCAAACAGCAAGCAGCATTGCTAGTGTGGAACTTCTAGAATAATACCACTCACATGGGCTTTGAGAAAGGGGCCTGGGAACCTACCCTGATGTATGGTGGCCGTTACCCCAGAAAACTGGATTCTGAGCTCCTAGCATCTCATTTATAAGAAAACTTTTAGAACCGTCATAGCTGAAGACCCTTCCTGGATGGTCAAACAACATGCAGTGGGGGTCCCCGGGCTGCTGCCCTCACTCAGCACTGCTGCTTGCCTTCTGGGGACAGGAAAGATGCTGGAGGAATGCCAGGAAGCAGCCTGTAGGGCATGGGTGTATCAGTATGGGCTGTGGCGGGTGCCTCCACCCACACTGAGGGCCTCAGAGGGGCATCAAATTGGGGCCGTCATGGGCAGCAGTCCCGAGAGGAGTTCTGGGGTGAGCAAGGACAAGCAGCTGAGTTTCTGGGCTCATTACTTGTCTTTCCAGCCTTGGACCAAATGGCTCCCTTTCTGCCTATCTCAATCTCTTACTGTGCTAAATGGCAATAATTAGAATTGAGGGTAAGAAAGAGTCTGTTAGTTTGCTAGGGCCACTGTACAGAAGTACCCCAAACCAGGTGACTCAAACAGTAGAAATGTATGGTCCTGGAGTTCTGGAGGCTAGCAGTCCCAAATCAAGGTGTTTTGGCAGGGTTTGCTCCTTCTGAGAGCTCTGAGGGAAGGATCCCTTCCAGGCTTCTCTCCTTGGCTTGTAGATGGCTGTCTTCATGCTCACACAGTGATCTCCCTCTGTGTGTGCCTGCTCCCAGATCTCCCCCTTTTACAAGGACACCAGGGGCCCACTCTCCTTCAGCAGGACCTCATCTTAATTAACTACATCTGCAACAACCCTATTTTCAAATCCGGTCACATTCCAAGGTGCTACATTTGGGTTTGGGGAGGGGCACAATTCAATCCATCAGACTTGAAGAACTGAGCAAGGAGACAGGGCAGCACATTCTAGACCTGGCTCCGCCACTAAGCAGCTCTGCTGTGCTGGGTATTTCTCTTGGCCTCGGGCTTCTCACCTCCTCAGCCTGAAGGTAAGGCTAGATCGTCTCAAAGGCCCCTCCAGCTCGAACAGCCAATTGCTTCATCATCTCACTGAAACGGATCCACATGTTTGCAAAGCATTTAAAACTTCTTACACGGAAGATACGGTATAAACACTAAGAAATAATAACCCCCAAGCTTCCACAGAAAGAGTGCATACAAATTGGAAGTGGTTTTCAAACATTATTTCATTAATCCTTACAAATCCCCTGTGAAGTAGTGCTATTAAAGAGCAAACTGACAATTGTGCTATAATCTGGTCAAGTAAAAGAACAATATCTCAGACAAGATAATAGCAGACTTATCTGCCACAGAGGAGGGCTGAATATGCAAAGGCCATGAAAGTTGGAAACAAATAGGAAATTTCATCTCAGGTGGCTTCGAAATAGGGGTTGGAAATGAGGCTTTGGCTGCCATCCTGGGACTTTCCAAAAGAGGGAGGGGAGATTTATGAGCAGACTTTCCAGAATGCATGCATCATTCATGGACTCTAATTTTTCATGCATAAATGTTTGAGCTGATATTTAAGATCTAGGAAATCTTCTGGGAGGGAATTATATTGTTTTCCTGAGGTGAGAGAAAAAGCGCTGCCCTAGATTTTTTTTTTTCTATGTACAAGGTGGCTAGAACAAAAATGTAGGTGACATTGTTATGGAAATGTGGCCATTTCATAGAAGCCCTCCCTCCCAGCCAGGCAACTGGGCTCTTTCCTGATTCTCACCAGCTTTCAGAGACAGCTGATCAGAAGGTGCATTCTATCCCAGGACAACTGATCCTACTCTACCTAGAAAACAAGATGAAGGAGACATTCCAAGGCAAGAGTCAACCCTGGGCAGTGGGACAAACGGTTCTGTCTATGCCTGGACTTGCACAAACACTCTCCAATATGGTGGATGATGGAAGAGGCCCAGAAGATACTTCTTGCCCACGCCCAGCCTTAAAGAGCTCTCTCACTGGCCAGTCTTCTGCCCTGAAATTCAACCATTGGAGATTTTTGAGTTTGCAAGATTTTCTATTTCCAAATGACCTCCTTTAAAATCCAAATGCTCCTGGAGAAGTAAGGGCTGAACCTCTTAACTAATCACTACCATCTTAGTATGAGAGGGCTTGGCCAATCAACCTTCTCTATGGTATTGTGAGATTACTTAAAAGAGAAGTGGGTGGGGCAGGTCCCCAAACCTGTGGAGAAAACCAGGAAAGAGAAGAACGAAAAAGGGTGCAGTGGGGGTAGTGGGAAGACTCTGAAGATCGTCTCTGCCAGCCTCACTGCTCTGCCACCTGGACTACAAATAGGGGTTAACCTCACTTAGTGAAGCAGCAACACTAATAGTATACAGATTAACTTTATTTAGTGAAGAATCGTCATGGCTAAATTCTTTTCACATTTTAATACTGTGACCCAATTGGTAAATCTGATTATATGCAGTGAGCAACTCTCTTGCAGGGTTCTACTGAGGCTGCTTATATTATCAAAAACAAATTAAGAAACAAACAACCTTTAAGACTGTAACATTAAAGGAACCCAGCTTCTCTGCTGACCTGGCCTACCCTCACCTCTCAACATTCTTTCAACCATACCTACGGCTAATTTCTTGTAGTTCTTCAAGTGTGCCAGCCCCTCACACCTCCTCTGCACATGGAACCACCCTCCACCACCTTCCATGGCTAACCACTATTCTTTATTCAAGACTAACTCAAGCCCTCCACTTCCAGAAAGCCTTCCCTGACTTCCAAGCTAGGTGTGGGTCCCTCCCCTGCACTCTGGGAGGGACTTATCCCTCTGGTTTTAATTGTTAGCTTGGTTTCCAGTTTCCTCCTCTGGAGCACAGGCAGAACCATTGTTCTCCATCTCGGCATCCCTAGTGTGAGACCCCATCCCTGCACTTAGGAAACGCTCAACCATATTTATCGTGAATGAAAAACTTTTTTTTTTTTTTTTTTTGCAGCAAGGAAAGGGTTTATTCAAGAGGCAGCCAGATGAGGAGACAAGGAGGTGGGAGGGAGCTTCAAACCCGCCTTCCAGAAGGGGGAGAGAACAAGTTTTTTATAATCAAAGGAGTTGAGGCTACATGCATATTGATGAAGAGAGTGGGGGAGCATGACTTTTCATGAGTAAAGACGGAGTGTGCATAATGAGCAAACCTATATGTAACATACATCCCATATTCGTTTGGGGGTAAAGACAACACCAGAACAAAGCAAAACCCAGCCCCTGATGCCAGGACGAGGGGAAGCAATTTAGGGCAGCTGGTATAAGCTGGATGGGGTCTTGGGCTCATTTTCTTGATTAAGAAATGCAGGGCCTTCCTTGTTCATGGGCTGGGACTGTATCAGTTGACCTTGAGTCCAGGCTTCCGCAGAGACAGCTAGTGGGTTTGTTGGGTCTGAAAAGGCCCAATAGTTTATTGGGAAAACAGTTGTCTTGAACTCTCTCATCCCAGAGATCCTGTTCCTGGTCTTGTCTCTGTTCTGAGTCTTGATCATCAGGTTCTCTTTTTCTCTGGACATGGAATCTGGATCTCCGATTTTGAAACCAAATTTGGACTCTTGACTCTGGAATGCCAATTTCCTTAGCAAGTTGCTCTCTGGTATCAATTCCAGGATAAGGGTTGTTCATAAATGCCCCGATGAAGGTGTGTAATTGTGAAGAAGTATAGCTGGTACGACACCGTCTGTCTTCTCTACTTTGAATCTCCTCTTCAGAGTGATCTTGGTCTTGACTTGATTCTAAGTCCTCATCGGGTTCTGATTTTTTCTGGCACTGGTGCCTAGCTCTTCGATTCTGAAACCAAATCTGGATTCTGGACTCATCAGTGTTGATTTCTAAAGCAAGTCTTTGTTTGGTAGCATAACCTGGGTAAGGATTTTGGTCAAATGCCTTGATGAGGATTTTCAATTGATCTTCTGTGAATTTGGTGCGGCTGCGTCTCTGATTCATTGTTATGGTCTTGTTTGGAGAGTTGTCTTGGGCCATGTTGGAAGAGAGTTCTGAAGTCTAAGGATCCAATGAAAAACTTTTTTACCTATTAAATTTGCTGATTAAAAAATGACAGGACTCAATTTGGTGAGGGTGACTTAAAGCGCTTATCTTCTATGTTGGAGATATAAATTGATTCAAGCCCTTGGAAAGCCATTTGGCATATCACGAGCAATCGCAACTTCATGGCCTTTGACCCTGATACTCCTCTTCTGGGAATCTATTCTCACAATAAGATAAACTATGAGAAAATGATATCCATGATGATTTTCAGGACAGTGCTATTTAAAGTAAAAAAAATACCTGGAGTGAACTTAAATGTCCACTAATAGAAGAATGGTTAAGTGCAATCTGATGCAATGTTTCGCAGCCATTGAAAATCATAGTTACAAAAAAGTATGTGCAATGTGGAAGAAAATTATGGTAAAACATTAAATGAAAAAGATATAAAATGCATGTAGGATGATTAAGATAACGTAAAATAAGAATAATAGCTAACACATATATGGTGGCTCACTTTAACACTGTTAAACTCTCTAAATTCTCACAATGACTGTGTGTGGTAGGTGCTGATGAAGATTCTCCCCTTGATCAAACTCTAGGCAGGCTCTTCTGAGCTCTCCTTTTGACCACCCCCAATCTGGGGTTCCCATGTCTTTCTTTGTAAAGTCCAGTTCTAGCAGGAATCCTGTTAAGCCCGTTCAGCCCAAACCCCTCAATATCTGTTCTGGGTCCTCAGCCTCCACCATCCCATTTAATGTCTGATCTGCCCTCAGCAAGAATCCTGTTAAGTCAGTTTAGCTAGAATCTTCCCTCACCTAGGGTGTTTCCTCCATCCACTGACCCCATCCTGCTCCTTGGCTATAAATTCTCACTTTTCCTTGTTGCGTTCAAAGTTGAGCCCAATCCCTCTCCTCTACTACAAACTCATTATGGTAGGTCCCTTCTTAAATAAAATCTGCCTTACTGTTCTTTCACAAATGTCAAGAGGAGCACCTGGGTAGCTCAGTTGGTTAAGCGTCTGTCTTGGGCTCAGGTCATGATCTCAGGGTCCTGGGATCGAGCCCCGCATCGGGCTCCCTGCACAGCAGGGAGTCTGCTTCTCCCTCTCCCTCTGCCCCTCCCCCCACTCATGCTCATGCATGCTCTCTCTCTCTCAAATAAATAAAATCTTAAAACAAGTCATGAATAATTTTTTAACAATGCCATTAATATCTCCATTTTATAATGATGAGGGCAGAGGCACAGAGAAGTTAAGTAACTTGCCCTAAATCATACAGCTAGTAAGCAATAGAGGGTGAATTTGAACTCAGTCTGTGTCAAGAGGCTGTGCTCTTGACCACTAGGATAGAAAATTCATCCAGAGTTTGGAAGGAAATAAACAAAATGCTATTGCTTTAAAGCTATGAAAATATAAATGAATTTCTTTTATTTCCCTGTATTTAAAATTTTCTATAATGTGCTTATACTATCTTTACAAAAGAACAAAATTTTAAATAAAAATTTAAAAATTAATCATAATATATAAATCTTCTTCAAATGTCTACTTGCAAAGCATGTTTACAACAGTTGTTCAGTTGTTGGGTTAAATATTCTGGAGCTGTCTTGAATTAAAATGTTTAAATACTAAATTACCTGATGTATACACAGATATACATAAAGCTAAAATTGTATTTCTGCTCATGTATTTTTTTTCCTTTTCAATAAAGTGTATTCACTGTAATGTGTAACATAAGAGATTAGATGTTTATACCCCAGCAAGACTTCACAGAAAGAAATCAAATAGTCAGGAAAAAAATCCTTTGTCAAGCCATGTGTCCTGCTTTCAGATTGCAAAATATGCTCACTGCAGAGTTGGGGGCATGTGAAGGAAAAAGGGCTCCCCTCCTGCTCAAACCCTAGTCTTGCTCTAGGTGAGAACAGGAACCCCAACCAAGTCCTGGGGCTATGTAAGGGGAGGGGCTATGTAAGGGGAGGGGCTATGTAAGGGGAGGGGCTATGTAAGGGGAGACCAGAGTTACCTCTGGACCCTTAAATTTCTTCCAAGTTCATCTCATTTGGGGTCTCTAACAAAGGAGAACCAACCCTCTGGAATCCCTTGAGCTCTCACACAGAAATGTTTCTGTGTTACAAAGGCAGGTTTAATGTCTATAAGAGGAGTGCAAGAAATTCTAAGGGGAAGGAGGGCAGGGGAGAGAAAGGAGATGCCAGGGGGAGGGCTCCCCTTCCTCTTTGGTGTTCGTGCTTGCAGAACAGAAGGGCCAACCCTGGTTTGGGGGAACTATTCCTGCAGAGCAGGGTGAGGAGAAACATCCAGGATACATCACCTTGGCTCAGTATCTAAGATTCCTTGTTCCTGTGCTCTGTCCACGCCCTGCTCCAAGGCACTGTAAATAGAGACATTCGTTCACCTGGGTTTTATGGGGTGGGTGTTCACTGTGGGCAGAACCTGGTGCTGGACGAGGTGGGGGTGCCTCATCCCCAGAAGATAAATACTCACTGGGGGGATGAGATGAACCCCCGGGTAATAAGCTACCTCAGAGTCCCTACTGTGTGGGACCCACAGTGGCCAACCTGAGTGGTGTGGGCCCAAGGAGCCCTAGGTCAGCAAAGCTTGGGGTGTGTGTAAGGATGTAAGGCCGAGTGTCTGTAGACCCCAGAGAGGCTTTGTGGGAAGCAATTTCACTACTTTATATTATGTCATCTTCACCAACATCCTCTATTTGCTTTCTTGATTTTACAAATGAGAAAATTAATCCTAACAATTACATAGCTAGAAGGGGGCTGGAGCTCGACTTCAATATTAACTGTTTGACTTCAAAATCCATGGGTAGAGGGAAGGAAGAAGGCCCACACTTGGATGTGTGTACATGTGTATGTATGTATGTATATATGCGTGTATATAGTCCCAGAAAATGTTCCAAACTGTTTGAATCATGTCCCATTTACAAAGCTCTCTCCCTCCAGGTACTTAATTTGACTCTCTCAATCGCCCAGCAAAGTAGCAATTATAATTACCACTACTGAACAGATTAGAAAACTGATAACCAGGGCGTATGAGAGATAAGTGAACTGGTGAGGGGCAAAGTACGTGTGCGAACCCACTTTTTCTGCCAATCCCATGCTCACTACACTCTCTCATTCAGCCTGCAAACCTTCTCTGACTGCTACGGGCAGGCCAGGCTGGGGACAGGCCCTGGAGACACAGAGAGGAAGCCAGTTCTGCCTCTGCCTGGTGCGGAGAAGGTCCCCCATGCTCTGCAGGCCCCGGGGGCAGGGGAGGAAGGGGGTGAGACAGGACACATTTGGGGCCTTTAGGCTCCACATGGCAAGCGAAGATAAGGCTGGGGAGGGCTTCAAGGACCCCTCAACTGGCACCTTAAAACATGGGTTTGTCACAAGGCCAAGACAGGTGAAGGCATCTCCATCAGAGTAAATAACACCTGCAAAAGCAAAGAAATGAGGAGTAGTGCAGGGCTCAGGAGAACAGCCCACGGTATGTGTTATGGACTAAATGTTTGTGTCCCCATCAAATTCCTATGTTGAAGCCCTGAGCCCTAGTGTGATGGTCTTAGGAGAAAGGCCTTTGGGAGGCGATTAGGCTTAGATGAGGTCATGAGGGTGGAGGTCCCATAATGAGCTTAGTATCCTTTTAAGAAGAGGAAGAACCCAGCATCGCTCTCCTGCTCTCTCTCTCTACCACCTGAAGACACAGAGAGAAGGCAACCATGTGCAAGGCCGGAATAGGGCCCATACCAAACCCCTGACCACACTGGCACCCTGACCTTGAACTTCCCAGCCTCCAGAACTGTTATAGCAGCCCAAGGAGACTAAGGCTGTATGCATTTTCCACTCTACTTCTCTGCTTTGTATATGGCTGCCTGCCAGCAAAACAGGTCTCTGCAGAAATCATGGCGGAAGCCCAAATGGAGTGGGAGAGACTCGCCACGAAAAGAAAGCCCCTCTTATCCGTGCCCCAGCGATCCAACATCCCCACACCCAGGAGCTACTCCACAGCACTCACGGTCTGCCCGCTGCAGTTAGGAGACCTGCTGCTAGGAGCCTGGCTGCAGTTTCCAAAAGAGAAAGATCTCAGTGTCAGGTAATCACACCCATCATCCCTAATGATGCTTAATGCCAGGCGCCACCGTGGCTCTGAGGCCTGGCTGACGCAGGGAGGCTCTGCTGGGCAGGATGCTCTCTGGAAGGCCAACAGCAGCCTTTTCCAGACCACCGCGGCTATATTTTATAAAAAGATCTCTCTCTAGCCCAATTAGAACGGAAAATTCTCCTCCGTTCTCTGGTGTCCTCCGGCCCCAGCTGCCCTCTGCCCAGTATCCAGAGGACAACACATCATTCCCTTGATTCCGAAGTAGGGCAGTTTGCAAGGAAGGACATTTGCGGGCTCTTTGATCTCTCTCCCCCCAAACACAACTCACTGCTGATGCTGTGAATTTCTGCGGTGGAAGGCAGGAAGCCGCTTCCCACTCCCTAACTTAGCAGATGAAGATGATTATCGTATCTCTGTTGTGTAAATGGCCGTGGGCCAGGGAATGGCCGAAGCGTTCAATCCGCCCAACTTAGGGCTCATGCCGCGCACACGTGTCTCTGGCTGGTCTACCACCAAGACCCCCACAGGAGAGAGAGCAGGAAAGCATGAGTCACATCTTGTTTGTTGAAAGAGGAAGATGTCCCAGGACCTTTTGAAGGGGGGCAGGGGGTGGAATGATGAATATTTCAAGTTCTATGAATCAAATATGAATTGAACTGTAATCAGGGTTTAAAGTAGATGGCTGCATAATAAGTGCTAAACAATTCATCTTTCTGTCAGGTGGCAGAAAGTAATTTATTCATTACCATTTAAGCAAGAAGAGATCTTGTGTGTTTAAAGACAGAAAAGTTTAGTGTGCTCTCTTTTACAGGGCACTGCAAAGGGCCCAGGTTGAAAGAAAGTGCTGGAAAGGGAAAAGCAGTGAAATAATCTGTAGAGCATCCAG